TACCCTCCCCACCCCAGGCTGCTCTCCTCCCCTCTGCCTGATCAGCCATCTCTTTCAGTTGTGCCCATGTGACTGCCCTCTAAAGGGCCATGCCCAAAACACATTCCCACGTGTAGCCAAAGCCCCGCAGGAAAGCAAGGTCCTAGAGTTCGAACGTTGTCTGACAGCCAAAAGAGCCACATGGCCGTGCTCTCTGGCAGGAGTCCCATGCATCATGACAAAGAGAGTCTAATTTATTCACATCGTCCTGCCAGCGCCTCCTCAGCCACACAGGCGCTGCGATGCAGCCACCACTGGAGCCCAAACCGGTCCTCAAAAGGCTCACTGTGGGAACGATCAAAACTGCCTCTCGTTCCGAAGGGACACTCAATCAACATGTTTTACTTTCATTCATGTAAAGTCATAAATTTTAAATGAGATTTCATCAGTCCCTTTCAGGCCTAAATGAATAAACCAGTAAATCACATTTCCTCTTTCTCTCTCCTCACGTTTCCCTCTCCCTCTTTCAATAACTATAATTAAGAAAGATTGTCCTGGAAATAACTGTCTTTGCCACCGACTTCTTTTACAAAAGAGCCCCCCTGCTTTTAATAATGTTAGAGAAACATTTAAAAAATTACTTTTTAATTCATTTTTAAACTTACATACAGTCTGGTGTGCAGTTCTAAGTTTTGACAAATGCATACACTCATACAACTACCACCACAACCAAGATATAGAACAATTCGGTTATTTCAAAAATCTTCCTCACGCCGGGCTTTGTCATGTTTTTAATTCTAACATATCTGATTTTAAATTTAAAATATTTTATCCTTAACAGCTCTTTATGATCAATCATCACCATCATCATAGTATGATACCACCGGCTAATAATGCTTGCTGTGTGCAAAGCGTTCCTCTGCTTACAGGTATTTTCCCCTTTATCTCTCCAGCAATCTCACTAGCTGCCAGATGGCGGCGCTGCCGGGGGTTAAATGGTGGGGCGAGGCTATGAGCCCAGTGGTCTGGCTCCAGAACTCAAGTTCTTCTTTACTACTGTCCTAATACTATTTTGCCTTTTCACTAGAGGACTCTTCCACATATACTACTCTTTTAATCCTCACACCAGCCCTGCAAAGTAGGTGCTTTTATTCCCATTCTACAGATGAGGAAACCAAGGCTCAGAAAGTCAAAATGCCTAAAGGAGTGGGAACTCAAACCTAGGCACACTGAATCTGTTAACTTCCACACTATTTTTAAAAGTGAAACATGTGTTATGCATATGGACTCCTCCATTCCAGAATAAGAGATTAGTTCCACAGGGATTGTGATGGCAGGGGTCTCCAAGACAACCTCCAGGCTCAATAATTTGCTAGGAAGACCCACAGGGCTGAGCATATAGTTGCACTCGTGGCTATAATTTATTACAAAGGATGCAAAGCAAAATCAGCAAAGGGAAAAAGTCAGGGTGAGGGAACGAGGCACAAGCTCCCGAGAGCTCCTTTCCAACGGAGACACCCAGAGCACAGCAACAAATAGTGACAGCTCACGTGAAATGCTGTCTACCAGGGAGGTACATTAGACACTAGTGCCCAGGGTTTTTACTGGGGGCTGGTCACAAAGGCACCTTCTGCCTAAATTCCAGCCTCCCAGAAGGAAAATTCCAGCCTCCCAGAAGGAAAGCAGGTGTTCAGCATAAACCACATTGTCTGCACAGTGTGGGCACAACAAGCCACCCTCATCGGTTCTGGGAATGGTGGGAACCCTCCCGAAATCCAAGCTCCCAGACACCAGCCCAGGGCTGACTGTGCCAGCAGGTCTTTCTGAGGATACTGTCTCGGGCCTGCTACTTTAGCTCTTTTCTGCACGGGGATGAAACACCCCAAACACCACTCCCAGGGAGTAGCTCTTGTGAAGATATCCCATGAGATGGGCGATGTGTCCTCAACACTAGCAGGACAGTCCCAGTCCTTACTGTCCCCAAGGGCTCATCCGAGGGTGGCACTGGGGTGTGCAACGTCATTACTACCACAGGCAGGAGGGACAGTGTGGAGGGCTGGGGTGGAGGAACCAAAGCTTGAATCCTGTCTCTGCCACATCCTAGTGCTGTGACTTGTCCTCTGTTTCTTCTTCTTTAAAATGGGTGAAGTGGGCACAGAAGTCCATTCCCCTCTGCCCCTACTCCCCATAGGCTGCTGTGAGAAACAGTTGGAAGACCCCTGTCTCTGCCACATCCTAGTGCTGTGACTTGTCCTCTGTTTCTTCTTCTTTAAAATGGGTAAAGTGGGCACAGAAGTCCATTCCCCTCTGCCCCTACTCCCCATAGGCTGCTGTGAGAAACAGTTGGAAGACTCCTTGCAAACTATACAAGGCTTCTCACAGGGACCCGAGGACTCAGCAGGTTGTACCCCAAGGTCAGTCTTCTCTCAGTGTCTTGCCTGCTTGAGACCCTCTCTTAGTCTCTGGTGAGAGGGTGCATTGGGGGCTCTGCGTGGAGGCCCCAGAAGCCATGGCCCTTGCCACGCAGCCTCTCACCTTACTCTTGCCAGAGCCCCCCACTCCTGGAAGGACCAGAGTTTTCCTTTTTACCTGCCTCTGACCAGAACAACATGGCTTTCAGGAGGGAGGATGGTTCCTGGTCAGCCCAGTCTGTGAACGTGCTGGCATTGTTTCTCTAGCTCTTCCTTGCTAAATACTTGCTTCCTTCTGTTAGTGCCAACAACAGAAGAAATGCTGGGATGGTACAAATCCACCATCTGAGGGCTAACCAGCAGGTAACACAGAACAGTCACCAGCTGAGCATGGTCACGAGAGGCTGTAGATGGGCAAAATGGCCCCAGATGGAGACTCAAATGCTTGGGGGTCCTCTCGCCCACCACGTGAGCTTGGGCAAGTGGCTAACCATTTCCTCTTTATCTGCAAATGAAGACAATGATCGCTGCCCGCATCCTCCGGGGTGAAGGGAGGTAATGAATGTGACTGAGTTATTATTAACTGCGTGGATCTGTACGAATGAGAGGGATCGATATTATTATAGTGTGTGGTGATCTGTCCCCCTACCCCATCAATTAAATTGGTCCTTGATGGCTGAAATGAACCATTTTCCCAAATGCCTCTGAGATTTCTTTAAAGTTAATGGTGCTAGGGAAAGAAAGAATATCAAAAGTCATCCCCCAGGATCCCATCTGCTTGTATTAAAAAGCATACGACCAAAGAGTTTAATAATCAATGCACTGAACAGCCCTGATAATTTATGCTAATAGTCACATTACAACGTGCAACTAGAAAAAGCTTAATCCTGCTCCCTGCAGCCTGCGCCTCAGATTCCTCCCTCAGCATGAAAGGCTTTAGAGCACAAGCCCCTCTTCTTTGTGCCTTTCACAAAGTGGCATTCACTGCCTCTTCTGGTTACCTGGTAACATGCATCTAGCACACACTGAGGTTAGGAAGTGGAGCTGGAATTTCAGCCAAGGTGAATTTTCTAATATTCAGGATCTCAAGAGCTCATTGAAACTACTGGGGCTCAGTGCCCTGGTGGGGACTGGCACAGGACCCTGATCCTATCCAATTTATCATTCAAAACACGACATCAATTTGCTGCTGTCTGTAGGATGCCAGCCCCCTCCCAATGTTAACAAATAGTCGGGGTACACACACTGAACAATCAGCCTTTCAAAGTGATGACATAAATAATAATAACACTAAGGCCATACCACTTTACAGGTGAAACTGAACCAATAATTTAGTATAGAAGGAAGCTTTACCCTGCAGCCTGTGCTCAAGGCTTGCAACGACCTACCCTAAACTACTTTGGAGTGTCATCTCCTTCCCCACGCATCCTACTGGGCAGCCACCCAGTGGGCCCACAGTTCATACCCACCAAAAGACCTCTCACCTCTATGCCCTGCTTCCCACTGAGCCTCCCCCTTCCTAGCCTAGTAAAGCTTTCTCCTTGTCCCTCAAGGCTCTCCTTCTGTGAGGCTATTCCTGTTCCTCTCAGGATCCATCACCCATTGCCAAATAGAGGGATAAGATAACAAACCTTAGGGAAAAATGGGAAGGTGGACCCAGAGTGAGAAACCCTCAAGATTCAAGGTTAGTGGACAGATGTTTGGCACCTTCCTAACCAGGGTGCCAGAGGCCAGACACACATGGTGCCAATCTGAAAAAAGCCAGGCAAACCCAGGCTGGAGTCCCATCTCAGCCGGAACTACCCAGGTGGCTCCAGAGAATTCCCTCCCACGTGCCTCAGTATTCCCTTCATATATATATATATGTATGTGTATATATATATATATATATGTATATATACATATATACATATATACATTTTTTTTTTAAAGATGACTGGTAAGGGAATCTTAACCCTTGACTTGGTGTTGTCAGCACCACACTCACCCGGTGAGCTAACCAGCCATCCCTATACAGGGATCTGAACACATGGCCTTGGTGTTATCAGCACCGCACTCTCCCAAGTGAGACATGGGCCGGCCCCAGTATTCCCTTCTTTTAAATGGGAGTGAGACCTCCCCAGGAAGGAAGATGGGTGCAAAAGCAACTTCCAGCAGTTCTCTCATTATTAGGCTGTTTGGGGCATTTCAGAGCATAGGAGGGAAGGGCAGAAGTTCAGCCTGAAAACTGCTTCCCAATACCCTCAGAGGCATGTGTAAGAACACTTCCCCACACTGTGAGGGACCTAATAAATACTATGGAGGCTTTTAGAGGGTGAACAAAACCAACCCCATTTTATGCCCCTTTGCCATGTAGACTCTTGCTTAACCTCATTCCTTTGCTTTACTAGCCAGTTACACTTTCTCCTTAGGGCAAATGTAAAGGGAACATAGGTTTCAAGGAGTGAGTGATTTATTACAGCAGGTGGCATCAGTGGTCTGAGCACTAAAATCACAAGGTCCCCAGCCTCATGGATCACAAGACACTTAGTGAATGATGTTATTACCTTATTTTTCTTACGATGTTTCCTTGAAGTTATTCTTAGTAACAGGGGCTGTGGTATATAAACTTCGTCTAACTGTTATTACCTTATTTTTCTTACGATGTTTCCTTGAAGTTATTCTTAGTAACAGGGGCTGTGCTATATAAACTTCGTCTAATGAGAGTGAGAGTGAGAGAGAGAGAGAGAGAGAGAGCTCTCATGCACTGACCTCTGATTTTTCACTGCATCTGGCTTTCCTGTCTGTAAGTCACCCTCATTAATAAATATCTTTGTATATCTCTGAATGGACCTGTCTGCTTCCTTCTTCAGTTCCAAGTACCTCCTCAATTTGGAGGGCATTCTGCTTTAACCTTCTCCTTGCACAAGGCCTCATTCTGTTAAAGTCGAGGTTTTCAGGTACTGAAGGAGTCAGGAGGGAGCTGAGGAAGGGGGAAGCATGGAAGCAGAGCAGCCACTGCTCTGGCTCAGTCTGTTTCCCTTCAACCAGGGTCCCCAGGGGTATTGTTAAAAAGTGCTCCTGCTGTGTCTTCTGAATAAAAGATAGCTTGTAGGCAGCACAGAATGAGGTGCTGCCTCAGCTAGGAACCGATCCCCCTGTCCACACCTTCATGCTTTACCAGGACAAAAGGGCAGGGACCATGCAAGCATTTCAGGACAAAACATGACAGGAAAACAGTGCCCAGGTCTGTGGCAGATGACACAAATGCTGGCAGGGAAGGAGAGCTGAATTCTGGGAGGCCTGACGTCTGTCACTAATGAGATCATGAAAAGCGGGCTCCTGAATTGCTTCCGTTTGGCCCTGTGAACATCTTTATTCTTTGGGCCTGTGCCTGGTGTGGGCTTCAGAGCTCATAGATCAGAGTCGAGAGGCTGTCACATTTACTTGTCATTTGGTAATTTTCAATGAATTAGGGGTATGGGGTTTCCATCTGCCATCTGGCCCCACTCTGGTAACCATAGCAACCACCATCTGCCTGACTTAATGCTATCAAGTCCTGTCCTGAAAGAGCACTGGACAGGGTATCAGAGCCTGGGAGTTGGTTGGTCTTTACTGGTCATTCCAGACAAGTGCCCTACCCTTGCTGGGTCTCAGTCTCAGTCTCTGCATAATGACAGATTTGGGCTAAATGTCTTTGAGGTGTCTTTCTCTGAGGAAGAGAATACCACTCTAGGGAGAAATTATCTGAGACCATCAGCACTGTTCAGATTCTGGGGACCTGGTCAGCATTTCTTAGTCTCCTGCATGTGGAGTTAAAGTGCTACCTGTCTGGAGACAAAGAGAACTGCCTGTGAATTAACTGCTGAGGAAAGCAGATTGTAGAAACGAGCGATAGGAACTAGAAGAAGAAAAAAGACAGGATTGTTTAAATGCCATGGGATAGAAACAAACAGTTAAGAGTGGAAAGGACCTCAACAATGGCTCCATGGTCGGAGAGGTCAGAGAGGGGAGGGACCAGCCCAAGGCTGCAGCACGGAAATACCCCTAGCCAGCTCTGTCCTCCACTGGGAGGCCCAGCTAGTAAGAGCCAAAGGTGATTTTCCTGTGTTCCTGGGGCTGCTTCAGCTCCTCAATGACTGCACATGGTTTTTGTTCCCTGGGACAGGAGGCTTCCTGCTCCATCTCCAACAACCCATTGGGTCCCCTGGACTTGGGTACATTTACCTGGAATTCTTTCGCAGAAGTCTGAGGCCCAGGCCCCAAGCCAGACTCCTTGGTACTCACTAGCCACCCGCTCACTCATCCTAAACTCACCACTGCACTCTCCAGGCAGGGTAGACAAGGGCAGTTCTCCAAAACCTAAAGGGTGGGCCACGCTCATGCTTAGGAAGCCAGCAAAGCAAGGTGCTTCGCTGGAAATCTCTATACTAATGTTTTGGTGTATTTTTGTTTGGTTTTTAAAAAGTACATATGGAGGGTAGGCAACTATATGGCACCCAGAGATGTTTTTACTGTGAATGTTAATGAAGCTTAGTTTCTAAGTCCTTAGTAATTCATAATTTTCTATTCCTTTACTTAAAGCAAGACCTTCCAAATTATATATGCCTTAGACTCATAAAACCTGGGTCTGCACCTGATGGCACCACTCCAAAGGTCTTACCTGTCCTGGGTGGGAGCTCCCTTAGGATCACCGGCTGGGCCCCACCCCACACCTGGGACCCTATTACTGCAGCCTGGAGCTCCCAGTCTGGAGCTTCTCTTCCGGCATCTTTACCTTCCCTTCCTCTCCATTCAAACAACTCACCTGGCACCAGATACCCGGGAACTCAGACCCAATTGGAATCCCTCTCCCCAACTCTCAGTCTCTCGCCCCCTCCCCCCCCATCAGCAGGTACTTAAGCGCCAAAAGGAGCTCACCGAAATGCCAACTAGCTCCGTGGCTGATGTTTCCACGAACTGCATGTGCATTCCCACCCCAGCCTCCCTGAGCACGGGGCAAGATGAGGAATACCAGTCCCAAGGGGAAACTGAGGCCCAGGCACCGCTGTGCAGAGGGATCCTTCACTCTACACCCCAAAGGGTTGGGCTGTCTCTTTTTCTACCCTCACGAACCCCGCGGGCCCGAACCCTACTCACCGAACTCGCAGTGGCCATCGCGCACCTTGTGCAGGTGGCCTGGGTGCGCGCGGGGGGCGTGCCGGGCGCGCAGGCGCAGCGCACAGACGCTGGGGTAGGAGCGGC